TTCTGGAAAATATGAAATTGATTGTCACTATTCACAATGACTTCTGCGATACGTTGGATCAGTTCAATAATCAGTTCAAACCCATGATGGTATTGCTGGTTTTATGCATTAATGCGACGATTTTATGGAACATAGTGATGGTTATTAAGTTTGACATGGAATTCACTACTAGCGAAATAAATCTACCTTCTTCCTTCGTATATTCTGGATTGATATTAGGTGCTGTTCTCGCGCTTGTAAGTCCTGGGTTTTGATAACTAGTTTCCTTAAGAAATGACCAAAAAACTTAACAATTTTTAAACTTAACTGTGGAAACTGTATAATGGACTACTTAACCCTGGTCGCTTCCACATTGTTTTTTAAATTTTTAAAGGATTATTAGATGATTATTTTCCATATTTACTGTTAAGTTACTAAAATTGTTTCAAGTTGGTATTTTTACGCAGACCATTAGTTGTAATTGAAATATTGTATTTTTCTAGGGTCAGGGAGCTTTAGCCGCTTGGGTCGGAGAACAACTGGCAGAAGAAGGATACCGGACAACAAAGATTTGCCTCTCCTTACTACACAGTTTACCTATTAACTTATCTTCTGCAAATGGAAAACTCATTGAAAAAGAACTGTATTTGCTGTTGGATCAAAGTCGATCTCGAAAAATTGGATTGTATGCTGGAGGAAGTTTTCAACTGGATTTTGGTATTTTAGGATCGATTACTTCCACAGTTGCTACTTACTCGATTGTGATCATTCAATTTCTGCTTAAATAGGTTAAATACATAAAACTTAATACAAAAAGTTTTATTTATTTCCCAAAAGTTGAAAAAACATATAAAAGACATTATAATATTTAGCTAACATACTGCAACATGCCGCAAAAAATTTGGCTGCCACAGCGTCTGGAATCCAGAGGGTCAAGTTTAAATTAGAGAATAACTTGAAGAAATAAATTAGGTTTCTGCTATCTTTTTTTTTGCTAAAGGAATAATAATAAATTGAATTTTTGCGATTTTGTAACTAAGAAACATTCTAATAAAGTTTATGCAAAGTCCATTGAAACAGTGTAAGTAAAATCTCCCTGTCACTTAAGAGCTGATAGTATTTTTGTATTGGGTTAATAAGTAAGAAAAAGACGAAGAAAAACTCATGAAGCGTCGGATCTAAAACTGCCGCTTTCGCATCAACTGTTTGCCTGCTAATTACAATCTGCAACAGCAAAAACAATAAAATTAAAAAAAAATTATAACGTTTATTCAGAAAATAAAATCAGGGCGACAAGGTCGATTTTAAACTCTTTCGAGCTTTGCGACAATCGACCAGCCGAATCTGAACTTAGTCCAGTAAAATACATCACATTTTTCCGGATCTGGTCAATTTTCGTGAGTAATTTTTGTGAGATGGGTAGACATTTGGCGATTCTCCGAAATTTTTGAAGATTTTTCAAGCTATGACGATGACTTTGTCGATATTTTTATTTATTTATTTATTAAACCATTTATTACAATGCCATGGCACCCTATAGAGGCAATTTATTTACCTGAGCATAAGAAATGAAAAAAAAATCTTAAAACTAAAAAACAAAAATCCCATTTAATATGAACATTAAATAAAGTTTTACATACAAATTTTGAAGTTTATTACCTAAAAAAAGAACCACTATTCTTTTGATGTCGAACTATAGATGAAACGAACTATAGAAGAGAAGTTAATTGCATTAACATTAGTGAATTTTTTATATACGGTTTTAAATAATTGCAGAAAAATTTAATATTTTTATAAATCATGTGTAAATTTGCGCCAAATGACTGTTGAACTCCGCATTAATAGATTCTATTTGCTTTGGCGAAAATAATTACAAATTATGCAATTGTCCAGCAAAGGAAATTTAACTATATTTTCTTATTGGAAAAATTCAAGAAATTGGTCTCTAATAAGTCTTGTGAACCTGGTACATTGTGTACAGAGGCACCTTAAAGTCAAATATTGTGATAAAAAATATTAAAAATTATTTTTTTAAATTTCTTATAGGCCTGGGTAACACTGTGTTGAGTTGCACTATTGAGTTGTTACCGTTCTGTGAATTAACGAGTTAGAACTCATCGATTAATGAGTTAAATTATGTAATTTATTAAAGATTTACGAGACTCGAGGCTGGAATTTGCACCTCTAAAAAAAGGTCATCAACATTTTTTCCGAGTAACGTTTTACTGCTTTGTTCAAATAACTAAAAAAAGTCATCTAGACTCGCCCAGCAACATAAGTGAGTCCAAAGAAAGGCGGCGAGTTTTCTTGTATCTCTTGATTTTTCGCATACAACATTCAGTTTGCCAGTATTTTAAAGTAAAACTTTAGGAAAAGCCGGTTTTTCCGTTTAGTAACAGTGTTGGAAACTTTTGGAAACTCCAGTTTCCAAGAGTTTTCAAATAAATTATGATAAACTTTCGCTTTTTCAGTTCGAGGAAATATTTTTGGAAAAATACCCAGAATTAATTATTAAGGGTTTGCCAAGAATTCAAAGCTGCAAAAAGTTTTCCAAAAATGTTTGCAAAGCGGCTAAGGAGGCGTGTGTTCCAATAAAATATATCTTATAATTTTTTTTACAGCAAATACCTGAAAATTGTCAGTATTTTAACTAAATGATAATGCGATTTTTGTGTAGAAAGAATTGCTTAATGGCAACTTTGTTAAAACTAGAATGCCCTGAAAATTTGGTCAAAAATTTTGCTCCCTGGTCGTTTTTTTCAAGATAATTTTAATTACTGTCGGTAAAAAACTGAATAAATATATTTGGTTTGTGTGCCAAATTCGAAGCTGCAAAGGCAAAGGCAATAGTTTTTTGCGTTTTCGATTAAAAACTTTTAGTTTTGTGATCGGTTTTGGAGAAAACCTTTATGGTTTTTGGTGAAAAACGGAAAAAGTTTTTATTTTTTATTTTTACAAAGCTATAAATTTATCTTGTATTTTTTCGGGTAAAAGACCTCCAGTTTGTCAGTATTTTTAAGTGAAACTTTACAAAATAGAGGGTTTTTGAGTAGAAAGTAAAGCAAAAAAAGCACTCAAACCTATAAAACCACATTTTTTTAACAAACTCCACAGTCTTCAGAGGAATTGAGGTGACGAGATTTCCAAATAAACTGTTATAAACTTTCGCTTATTCCGGTTGTTTCTTTTTAATGGAAAATGATTTGATTTTTTGTTCCAAATTCGACGCTGGAAAGGGATTTCAACACTTTTTACAACGCTACCAAGGATTCGAAATTTATTTCATAATTTTTCACGGAAAATACGTTACGTTCGGCAGCATTTTTAATTGAAACTTTAGAAAATTGTTAATAAATAGTCCTTAAAATAAATCTAAAAACATGTAAGAAAAAGTCATCAACATTTTCCCAGCAACGGGTTACCGCACCAAGCCTCTCCTAAAAATGCAGAATTACCCACGCCTAGTTTCTTAAGATGCGTAACTGAAAGGACAGTTCAAAAGGTATAAATAGTTGGTAATCATTTGACCGACTTTATGAAACTAAAACGACCGGCTAATAACTGCGTAACCTTCTTAGCCCGGTCAAAAATTGCGAAATCTTCAATAATGTCAGGCGGTTTTATTGAATGAAAATCATGCAATAAAACCTTTTTAAACCTTGCTAACCCAAACACACTAACCATTCAAAATTATAAAGTCGAAAATTTTCCGATATATTTCATAGCTTATCTTTTTCAGGAAATTTAATTAAACGGTCGGGTTGTCAACAGTAATTAATAATATCTACTTGTTAAATGCGCTTGTTGTGTGTTTTCGTCAGTTTCATAGTTTCAACCGCCCCCCAACCATGGCACATCTCCATACATTCAAATATAAACATTCCAAGTCCGATCCGTTACCTATTAAAGGTTTAGCTTTTGTAATAAATCACCAGAAGTTCCGATGGGTGGTTCATATCTGCACTGCCATCTTGCATTTGGACATTTTTCTATATGGCTTTTTTGGAAAAACTGTAATTATTTATCCACAATGGCACATAACAGAGGCAAGCCTGCAAGTAGTAGACATTATGACATTTTGCATACTACTGGTGACCAATCTTATGAGTTTTGCCTGGATCCACAGAAATGTTGAGTTATTCAATTTGATGTTTTATCTGCAGGAAAACAGCAGAAACGCTAAGCCATCAACAAGTTCCAGTAGTGGAACTTTCACAATATGGTTCCTAATATTCCTGGGTATCGTAGATGCTATTTTTTCCTTCCTGCAGTTTGAATTCACTTCTGCAATTAGATATCCAGTAGCCCATAATATCGAGTTTTGGTGTTTCGCTATGAATATATGCACGATAATGTACTGTTTCCATCGAATAAAACAGATATTGGGGAATATGAACAATTATTTGCTCGAACAGGAATACCGAAATATTGCAGTGAAAACAAAAAACAGCATTTCGTTACCAACAACCCAGCTTAATTACCAACATCGTGCTATGGAAAATTTGAAATTCATACTACGATATCATAATGACTTTTGCAATATGGTGATTAAATTTAATATGAAATTTAAAGCGCTTTTGACGGTTTCATTTCTGTGCATCAATGTGACGATTTTATGGAGCGTAGTTCTAATTATTAAGTTGTCTATGCTTGTTTCTGCAGGAATGACCGAGCAATGTATTACCGCATACCTTAGTTTATCGTTCAGAGCTGCTATATCACTTGTAAGTTTATGCCCTGATGAAAGGTTAGAAATACACACAATAATTACAGAATTCTAGTTAAACTAAGGGAATTTGTTCTATTTAAAAATATTCGGTGAAAAATCAAATGGCAAATTAAAACCTGTTAGTTTAAGTTGGAAGTATGCTTCTAAAAATTAATTTCTAATTAAGCAACATTCATTATTGCAAATAAACTGAAATATTTTTTAAAGCAAACGTTATAACACCCAAATAAACACTTTCTATATGAGAAAACTGATAAACCGAAAAAACATTTTCAGATTTTGATGATTTCAGAGTGAAGGAGCTCTAATAGCATGGGTTGGAGAGCAACTAGCTGATGAAGGTCATCGAACAACGAAGATTTGTTTCCAGCTGTTAAATGCTCTTCCGTGCGATCTTGACGCATTGGATGGAAATATTTTCGAACAGCAATTAAACCTGCTGCTAGATCAAAGCAGAGCACACAATATCCGACTGCATGCTGGTGGCTACTTCCAGTTAGATTACAGAATTTTTGGATCAATTGCTACTTCAGTTGCTACTTACACAATAATCATCCTTCAGTTTCTACCGAACTAAGCACCGATTAACGTTTTCAATTTAATTATGGATTTTCATTTTTTTTCTATAATATACTATGGAGTGCTGAACTGACGCATTTTTATTCCTGCATCTGGATAGTCGCACTCAGCAAAAGTTTCTGTGCAACTGGAAATTACACAATTTTAATGGATAAAAATACGATTAAAATTTGTATTAATTCGTCCAAGGAATTGGCGCAATTTGTATGATTTTTTTTTGTTGCCTTGGCAATATATTTTATTGCAATTTTGATGTAAATTGAGAATGAACAAATACTCTTTCCACTAAGCACCTTTTGACTTCAATAATTTATGTAACGGTTTTTCAAATTTTTGCTTTGCGGGAATGTAATAGCTTGAGAATTTGAAAACTAGAAAAACAATTTCAAATCCATACTGTAAATATTATTGATTTTAGCTCAAACTGGAATTATAATAGTTTTCAACAATAAATAATTTGATTTATTTAATTTTTTGATACTACTAAATTTAAGTTATTTTTATTTATTTATTTTGGTTTCAATGGCTTGAGTGTCAAAACCGAGGAGATCATTAGATCCAGTCTTCAATTATGAAGAACCAGGAGGTTACGTCTGCGTAAAAAATTTCAACCAATAAATTATTTCGAGTCGCTTTCAGAAAGGAAGCGTTTTCAGAAAGGAGCCACACCGTTTAAATACGTAATCTTAATCTGAATCTGAGAAGCTGATATTGTTTTGCGAGAAAATATCTGCCAAGAAATTATGGTTTGCTTACACTTGGGTGCCACTGAAAATTTTCACCAAAGATATATAGAAAAGAAAATGTTTGTAATTGGGAATTTGAATAAATATATTCTAAACTTCTCGATTTTTTGATTGGCCGTCTAAATGACCCAAATTTCGTCAATTAGAATATTAAATAATTTGAGTATATCAGACTATGAAGGCTTTCACGGCCGGTCAGATTACATTTAGGAATGTTTTCCGGGCTTTGAAGCCGTGGTCTATTGGAATTTCTTCCTGACGTTTCGTCCACAACTGCGGTGGACATTT